CTTGAAGATGTCCGGACTTCAACTCCCAGAATTCCCCAGCCAGCGAATGCTGGCTGGGGAATTCTGGGAGTTGAAGTCCGGACATCTTCAAGTGGCCAAGGTTGGGAAACACTGATCTAAGCCACGACGGTTCTCCTCCGGCCAAGAGGGCTGCTGCCTGCTTATTTCCCTCGTCCTCAGCTGGCCTCCCTGCCGATTCCCGGAAGCAGACCTGAGACTCCCCCGAGGGCCTTCCGGGTCCCTCCCAGGTTCCGCCCTGCCCATCCCCAGGGGGTGAGGCGGGTGGGAAGAAGTGACGACACCCGGGAGGCCCCGAGAGAGGCCGGCTGGCGGAAGAGCGGAGGCCTCCTTACCCTTGGAGTAAGTGCTGACCAAGGTGGCGAAGTTGGAGATGAGGGTGATGGGCGAGAAGTCCGCGATGTCCGCGATCTCCAGCGTGCGAAGGAGGCAGCGCAGCCGCTCGGCACAGAACCTGCCGGGACCCAGGAGCTGAGGCTGGTCTGAGGAGGCCCCCGGACAGCCCAGTGGACCCGGCCAGGCTCTTCCTCCGGGGCCCTCCCCCTGGCTCCCGTCCTTTCCAAGCAACGCATCAATGCTCAGCCACACGGGCCTGGCGGCGGGGGGGAAGTAAGGGATGAGGAGGGAGGGGGTCTCCCTTCTAGAAGAGCCTGTGAGGTTCCCCCCCACCCGCACTCACCGGAGGGGCTTCCGCTCGATGCAGACCTTCTCGAAGATGTCCTTCAGGAAGGACGGGGGGCTCTCCTGGACCACGTGGTGGACGCGCAGACGGGACTTCAGGTACTCCAGGAGGCGTTTTAGGAAAGCCACGAAGTGTTCTGCCGTCCGGATGTTGCCTGGCACGGCCTCTGCACAAGGGGAGAGCCAGGCGGGGCAGGGGCTCAGAGGCAGGTCTCAGGGCTGCCCCTGCCCCCCTGGTTCAATGAGGCCACCTGAGACCCTCCCCCCTAAGCAGGAGCAACTGATGCCCAACGGCAGAAGAGCAGGGAGGGCACAGCAGGCATCCCTCCCGTTCCCACCAGCAACCAAGCACCAGCCCCCCCTCCCCTGCCCACAAAGGGCCCACGGACCCTGCAGGATCTCGTCCGGCAGCACCGGGTTGGCCAAATAGACGTCTGTTTCCCGGGCGACGTTGGCATCCCGCAGCCCCTGCACCAGCTGCTGATATTCCTCCTTCAGCTTCTGCGCGTCCGTTTCTTTGATCCTGGAAAGGGAGCAGGGGGGGGGGGAGGGAAGGAGAGAGGGCTGCAGGCTTCAGGACTGGAACTCGGAGCCTGCCAGCCGCCCCCACTCAGCCGCCTTAGCAAAGGGAGATCCCTGGCCACTTGTCCTGTTCTGAGGTTTGTGGCTACAGAAGCAGCAAAGCTGAATCTGAGGCTTTCCCACAGAAGGAACAGAAAGGAAATTCTCCTCCTCCTCCTCCCCGGCCATCTCCCCGTTGTCTCTCAAGGCCCAATCCTGTGCTTGTATATTGCTTAGGAAACAGAGGATCGGTTCCCAGCTCTCTGGTCCTCTCACATTTTGGCCGGGTTAGCTTGGCTTCCCCCCCCCCCCCTTCTTCCTCCCTACATTCTAATTCCCCCCCTCCCGCCCCTTGCTGATGTCAGCTCATGAAACCTGGGTAGCAGAGAGGCAGCCATGACAGAGCTGAGCCCACGGACTGCCCCTTGAATGCGCCCGCCCCATAATATAACGCAGCCTGGCATAATTCGGGGGTCCAGGCAGTTCCTTAGAGGCAGAATAACAGAGTGGGAAGGGACCTCGGAGGTCTTCTAGTCCAACTCCCTGCTCGGGAGCCCAGATTCAGTTCCCTGAACCTCTCCGCTTTCAGAACTCAAAGCAAGTTTCTAGCCCGCATGAAGTTATGCGTGCAATGATAGGCAATGCCTGCTAAGACTCCGGAGAGGAGGCTGTGCCAGGAAAGAGACTTCTTGAGGATGGATGGAAACTAATCAAGGAGAGAAGCAACTTAGAACTAAGAAGGAATTTCCTGACAGTGAGAACAAGGGAGCAGTGCGACAGCTTCCCTCCAGAGGTTCTGGGTGCTCCGTCAGTGGCGGCTTTTAAGAAGAGAGCCCCTTGTTCGAAAGGGTAGAATGAGGATTTCCTGCTTGAGCAGGGGGTTGGACTAGAAGACCTCCGAGGCCCCTTCCAATTCTGTGTAAGCGGCCCAGAAGGTCGTCCTTTGGGGAGAGCAAAAGGCCAGGAAGGGAGGAAGGGAGGAAGGAGCGAAGCCTTGCTCACTGCTGAATGGCGGCTTGGAGGGTGGCCACATTCCCCTGGCAGCGATCCAGGATCTTCCTTGTGATGTTGACCCCCATGGAGTCAATGCAGACGTTGTCTGTGGGCGAAGGAAAAGGAGGGGGGTCTCCAAAGAAGCCCACGGCAGCAGAGGTCAACCCCCTGCCTGGACCAGACAGAGCTGTAATTTTATGTTTTTAATCCGAGAAACTCTTAGCACTGACGGTTTCGATAGTCCTCTACTTACAGCAGTTTATTTAGTGGCTGTTTTAAAGTTACATCATCACTGAGAAATGTGACTTATGACCAATTTACAACCGTGGTAGCATCCTCAAAGTTACGTGATCAAAATTCAGAGTTTGGCAACTGACTCATATTTACGACGGTTACCATGCCGCGGGGGTCACGTGATCCCCTTTGCGACCTTTTGAAAAGTGGATGGGGAAGCCGGATTCACTTAACAACCAGGTTACTAACTTAACAAGTGCAGCGATTCACTTAATGATTGTGGCAAAAAACATCAAAGTGGGGCAACATTCACTTAACAACTGTCTCATCTAGCAACAGAAATTTAGGGTCATAAGTCGAGGACTATCTGTAATTAGGAGGAGAAAAAAAAGAAACTTATTATAAACCAAGGATAAAAAAAATCTGAACCTAGTTTCCTCACAGGGAGTTTGGCCGAGTTCCCATCCACCCAAATTAAACCGAGGGAGAGCCGAGTTAATCTCTAAAGCCGTCTTTCCGGCTGGGGGATTCCGGGACTTGAAGTCCACACATTTTAAAGTTGGAAAATCTGAGAAACTCTCCTCCTCTAAGGGAAGAAACTGGACCCCAACGTACTTTTCAGACAGCCCAATTCACCTCCTGGGCCAGGTGGTCCCCCGGCCCTTCTCACACCTACCGATGTTATGAGCTTCATCAAAAACCACCACCGACTTCTTGGCCAGCTCCTTGGAGACCACGTCCGCAATTTTGGGATCGAGGAGATAGTGGTAACTGTAGACCACGATGTTGGCATGGAGGATCTGTTCCACGTGGGGAGAGAAAGCAGAGCAGAGCTTGTCCACTCACCTTGGCAAGGAGGAACTTCGAAACCCCCAAACGGGAATTGGGGGGCTGGGCTCCTCAGTCATGCAGGAAACCCCCCAAGACCCCTGGGCTGGGATCTGTTTCTGTACGGAGACGTTTCTACTCTCCAGGAAAGGATGAAAGGACTAACCCCAGTTCTATCCAGGCGCTAATAAAATGCAGGGAGTCCTTGACTGACAGCCAGAATTCAGCCCAAAATTTCTCTTCCTAAGCGACAGTCATGAGTTTTGCGCCATTTTTACCACCTTTCTTGAATCAGTGCAGTTGCTAAGTTAGTTAAAACAGTTGTGAAGTGAACCTGGCTTCCCCATTCACCTTTCCTGCGAGAAGGTCACAAAAGTGGATCACATGACCCTGGGACACTGCAAGCGTCATAAATATGAGCCAGTTACCAATTCTGATCAGATGGCCATAGGGGATGCTGCTACGGTCGTTAAGTGTGAAAACGGGTCATAAGTCACTTTTCAGTAACTCCATTGTCACTTGAGTGCCCACTAAACAAATTGTTGCAAGTCACAGGGACTATCCGCATGCTTATGCACAGAATGGACTGAAATGTACGTTTTCCTCAACTGCAAAGCTCCCCAGGCAGACTCTCTCTGAGCACACAAGGAAGCAGTCCCATTGGGAGAGTCACAGGCAATTTGAATTCGGTGCTCAACAGCACAGAGAAAAACGTTCTGAGAAACAGGCATGGATGGTGCGGAGTCTCCTGCTGATAGAACTGCTGGATTTAGCTCACTGTGGGAGGCACAAAGCCCCCGAAAGACCCACCTTACTCGGCCGCTGTGCAGCTTCTGAGGTTCAGTAAGCACCGGCTACTTCAACCCCTACGGCTATTTTTGCTACAACAGGGAGCAGCAACTTTCTCCTTTTGCTCAGGGTCTTCCCCCGACAACAGCTAATCTAACCAGAGAGATCCCGTAAAGGAGGATAAACGGAGAGCCAACCCCCCCTCTCCTTACTAGCGTGGATGATGCTACCTGGAGTTTGGGTAATGAACGGTCTGCCAGAAAACCTCAGAGAGCACAAGGATCCTTCAAGGAGACCCCTGTTGCCCTAGAAAGAGGGGAGGGGGCTTGTGTCTGCAAACAGGCCAGCCAGCTGTCTTACCGAGTAGCGGGCAAGGAAGTAGGGGCACCAGCCCTTCTGCTGACCGTAGGCCTTCAGATCATCCAGGTTATAGACGCCGTAAGGAAGAGGCACCTGGCGACCGTGGGCATCGAATTCCTGCAGGGGATCAGAGCAGGGCTGAGCGGGATCTCCTTGCCCTGGGCCTTATGAACCAGCCAGAATGGTTTCTGGCTGCCCACCCCCCTTGTGCGCCTCACCCTTACCTCAAAGAAGCGGCAAGAGGGAAGGCTGCCATCCTGCTGGTGCTGAGCCCGGATGTACGAGGCGGTCAGGCTGAAGCACTTGCTGTCCACCTCCTTCCCAAAACGGAGGCTGCTCACCTACGACAAGGAGGGGTGTGTGCAAGGTCTGAGCAGAAGGGGCAGGGCGCCCACATCTCCCTGCTTTCCCCGCTGCCAGGGGCAAACGCTCCGCAGAGAGAGGGGGCTTGGAGGAAGAGACCTCCCAGCCATCCTCGCTCCTGGCACCCAGGGTTATTGGGAAAGGGAGCCCCACTCCCCCCCCCACCGCCCGCAGTGCATCTGGCTGAAGGACGAGCTGTGGTGGCCGAGAGGGGCTCCCTGAGTGTCCTCCCTCCCCCCGCCCCAGAGGCCAAGCGCCCCACCCCTCCCTCCGGCCGGCAGAGGCACCTCAGGGTGGATGCAGAGGTTCTTCCTGGAGCTGAGGGCCAAGCCCAGGAAGGGCAGCTTCTGCCCCGTCTGCTTCTCGTGGAAGTCCACCAGCCTCCGCAGCTCCTCGACCACCTAGTGGGGAAGGGGAGAAGCCCAGTGGCTGGCAGGGGGAGGCCCCCGGGAAAGCCCCTCCCTCCCCAGCCCTGCTTCCTGGCCCTCCCCCCCCTTGGCCTCCCCCCCAGCTACCTTCTCGATCTCCGGGACGGTCCTGGAGCAGTAGATGAGCTTGGTGACCTCCAGCGGGTGAGCCTGGGGGAGAGGGCGGGCTTAGAGGGCTGGGCGTGGGAGGGGAGGGGGCTCCTGGAAGAAAAGCAGGCAGAGTCGGAGGGGGGGGGGGCCCGCCCCCCCCCCGGGGCCCCGCCCCCCCCCCCCCCCCGCCCGCCTGCGGGGTCCCTGCAGCCCCCGCCGATGCCCCCCCCCGGATACTCACGCGCTGGTAGGCCAGGATGAGCGCCAGGAGGGAGACGGTCTTCCCGGTGCCCGAGGGCATCTCCAGCACCCCGTGGCCCTGCGGGGGGAGGCAGAGAGCGGGGAGGGGCAGGAGCGGCGTCAGGCTCTGAGTTCCAGTCCTGCTCCCCCCCCACACACACAGGAGACCCCCGCCCGGCCCACCTTGGCGTCCAGCGTCCGCTTGAGCTCCAGCATGTAGGAGTACTGCTCGGGGTAGATGAAGTCATGGGGGAAGAGCACCAGCAGCCCGTCGATGTTCAGCCTGCGCGGAGGGAGGGAGGGAGTGGCGGAGAGTTCCCCGGGCACGCCGCCCCTGCGCCCCCCGCCCCCAGGTGGTATCTCCCAGAGCCCCCCCCGCCGCCGCTCACTTCATGGTCTCGTCCGCGGCCGGAGCCGCGCTTCTGCGAAGTTCTCACTCCGGTCCTCTGCAAGGAAACCTGCTCCTTCGGCCGCCTCTCCGCTTCTTCTATGGCTCTCGATCCCATTGGCTCCCCACGTTCCCCGGAGAAGGCCTGAGTGGCTGGTGGGAAAAGAGCCCGCCTCCGCCCGCCCTCAGGCTTTCTGCCCAGCGTTCGGCTGCGCGGCGCGCAGGCATCACAAGCCGCTCAAAATACGATCGTACGGCGTCCCTGCGACAGGCTGAAGAAGTCGAATCCAGAGAGCACGGATTTCGCTCTCCCTCCTAGGCTGGAACCTTGCAGTGGTTTTGCGCGCCTGGATGCACGTGCGCAGGCTCCGGACTGCAGGAAGGTGGCCGCAATTCATGCCGCCTTCCTCACCTGCCTTCCTTCGTTATGTGCCATTTAGATGCGCTGCGTTGCAATCACTACCCCCAAAGCTCCCCCCCTCCCCAGTTCCTTAGCCAGCAACCCAACCGGAGGTTCCCTATAGAAAGAATCCCAGGAGGAAAGCTGCTTTGGCCGAAGCCACGCGTGGAACTTGAATCCCAAACTGCCCAGCCAGCTCAAAAAGTGACACACCCCCGCGAGACCCCTCTTTATGGTCCAGCAGCCCCAGTTCACCCACGATGGGGGCATTTTGCTCTTTGCAAGGGAAGGCGGGGAGATGCAAGGGGCGGGGCTGCTGTAATGGGTGGGGGGGATGTAACGTTCCCGTGGTTCGTCCATGAGGCCAATGTTGAGAAAAGACAGGACACAACCTTTCTCGGGATGGAGCGACGACGACCCAGATTGGGGTCTGGTAGCCCCTTTTATTGAGATAGGACAAAGGCAGGAGGAGCAATAGCGTGTGCTTAAAAACAGCCTGTAAAA